CGGGCAGCAGCAGCTGGCTCCACGTCGAAACGGTCGCTTTGAAATTGCTCGGGCCTGTGCAAAACCCGCCACCCCAAAAACCTGCAGTGTTTGAAAAATCAACCTATTATTTTTCTAGGGGCGGCCAGGACCCGATAAACGTCCTGGGCTGCCCCAATTTTTTTTTTGATTTTTGCCCCAGAGGCCTTCATCCAGACATATTGTCCAGACACCGGACACCAGACGCCAGATACCGGACTGTCTGGAACCCGGTCCGGACGTCCGGGCGGTTACCATGCTCACGATTCTTCTGTATCATTCCCAAATGGATGGTTACTCGGTTCCATTGTGCTATCTGCTCTTGCTTGGACTACTTGGACTTCAGTGTGATTTTGCAATCTGGATTTCTGTGCTTCGTCCACATTCATGTTCCTTGCACTTGCTTGATATGGTGAGATTTTGTTGGAAGAAATTCTGATTAGTGTCTTGTTCTGCTTGCAGCATGTTTGGCATTTGTTATCCGAAAAAAGGGACCTGAGATGTTCATTATTTTGGCAGGCCCTGTTATTTAAGCACTACTGCCGTTTTTATTTTCAAGTGCTTCTATGTGCGGTTGGCTGTTGATGTTCCACAGCATGCAATAGAGGTGCAAGAGTTCTCTCTCGGAAGTAGCCCGCCAGAGCTTGGTCTTCACAGGACATATTGGGCAACGGACAATAGTGGCATGGTGAGGTTCCCTTTCTATTTCCGCTTTGCACATGTTATAAAAACACAGTAATAAAAAAAAAGCGTGAAAGACTGCGCTGGTGTGTGTGTGTGTGTGTGTGTGGGGGGGGGGGGGGGGGGGGGGGGGGGGACCCCTCCACTACCACCTACCATCTTGATCCGAAAATATCGCCTGGGTGTTGTATGGCGTTATATAAAGTAACTTGGTGGCAACTTCGGAGGGGCCCCAAATTTTTGAAAAAAAAAAAATCTGTGAAAAAAAAAAAGTTGTCCAGAATTGCAATGTGCCCAACTTTTGGCTGAGGGTCATTTCAGAATTCTGCGAGGAACGAATCCTCATGGGGCCCCTATCAGACATACCATACATGCAAGCGCACGTCGTGCGGGCGGTTCCCTATGTGCGGCGCACGCGCCCAACCGATCCCGTGCGGCGCACGACGTGTGCGGAGAACGACCGGACACCCCCCTTGCCTCACCTTGCTCCTCCTCCCCTTCCTCATCCTCCATGTCTCCTCCTCCCTTCTCCTTTTAGTCTCCTCCTCCTCCTGTTCATCCTCCTCCTCCTGCCCTTCCTCATCCTCCTTGTCTCCTCCTCCTCCTCATACTTCCTCATCTTCCATGCCTCCTCGTCTCCTTCCCATCCTCGTGTCGTCCCCTTCCTCGTGTCCTGCCCTTCCTCGCCGTCCATGTCTCCTCCTCCTCCCACTTGTCCTCCTCCTCCTGCCCTTCCTCTTTTCCCTCCGTCCATCTCTTCTCCTCCCCCATCTCAACTCCTCCTCCTCCTCCTCCTCCTTGTCCACATCCTCGTCCTCCTCTCCATATCCCCCTCTCCTTGCCATATCCACATCTTCCTGTCATACGCCCCCCCGTTCCTCCTCCCAAAAAAAGATAAAGTAATAATAATGAAAATAAAAAACCTGCACGATTCTGCACAGGCACCCCCCGCACGGAACTCCGTACGGAACTCTGCGCGAATGTGCGGCTCGTGCGGTTGCAAGTATGAGACATACACATGTTCTGGGCACAGGCCCCCAGCAAGCAGAGTGCCCGCCCTAAGTGAAGGCGGGCCTGAATATTCATCAGAGGCCAAAATTCGACATTTTTTCATATGTGGGTATTCAGGCTCTTGCAGCACGCCAGTTGGTTGAGTGGACGCGCGAGCCTCCCTAAGCTGCGTCGTACAGTTGGCCCAGGCCTTGGCAGTTGCGCCAGGGCACATACACACAAAGCAGGGCTGATACATTATGAAGTGGCCACAGGCCTATGCAAAAGCAGTACTGTCGACGTACCTACCCCGGGGGCCTGTGTAAATGCAGCAAACGGCCCAAGTCTGGAGACTCACGCCGTGCCCAACTGTAAAGGGCCCAGGCCCTCAACTGTGGTCTCGGGCCTGGGTGCAGGAACTGGGGCCCAACAGGAAGCTACCGGAAGCTTCCAGCCAGGGCACACGCAGCAACGCAGGGGCTGCCACTTCCATATAGGAAGGAGAGCAGCCAGGGCCTGGGCATTCAGGCCTGCGTGCTGCATGGAGGCCAGAGCGTGTGCGGGCGCGTGTTCGGTGAGGTGGGGTGCTGCATAGGCAGCGGAGCGCTACCAGCCATAGCCGGGCTGCAGAGCGCCAGGGTGTACGAGGGCGATTGGTGGTCTTCAGCTAGGAGGTGAGTGTGGGTTGACACGGTCTGATAAGGGGAAACGAGATACTGGTGTTGACGTCATGTACATTGGTCGTCGACAGTCGAAGTGAGCCCTGTTGCGCGAATGCTGATGTAGGTAGGATAGTCGGGTAATGTATGCTTGGCGCTGGGCGCCAGACAGGGAGGAGCGACTCTGGATACTGTGTTGGTGTGGTCTGAGGGCTTGCACATTGGCTCATTGCTCCATTGTATTGCTCTTATTTGGATGGGATCTCGGTACTTTTGTGCTCTCTGCTTGTACACTGGACATCTGTGTGATTTCGCAACTTGGTATTTTGTATATCGTTCCCACTCATATTCCTTGCAATTTGGTATCAGAGCTGGTTCGTGATCGCCGCTTACATGGCGCTGGCGACATTGTTACTTGGTGCTCTGACGATGCTTCATGTGCAGTAAGGATAGTTTGGCACTGGCTTGATAAAGCGGGGCCCAGGTAGAGGGGCCGGCCGCTGGAAGGCTGTGGCGACAGCATGGGAGCTGTGGCGACAACGGATGTATGTATGATGATGAGAGCATGCTGATGTGGCATTTTGGCTGAGGTGGCACTGCATCGTGTTGTGGGTGGTACCGAGGCTATGACCGGTCATCGAAATGCCCGTCGGCTCAATGGGTGAGAAATCTGTGGTTGAGGGCAGCTATCTCCAGGTACGTTGTTCCCATTCCTTATCTACGCTCTCAATCTCTTCTTACCGCGAGGAAGTGAGTCCAACTCGAGTGTCCTCTCTTTTGTGTGAGGTGTTGTGTGCGCTCTACCTTGAGAGATGAAATTCTTCCCGGTGGCGCATCTGGCAGGAGAGGGCGGTGCCTCTGAAGGGCCCTGCAACCCGAGCGTCCTCTCTTTTGTGTGAGGTGTCGTGTGCG